GCCGACGCCCTCACCTTTCGGAGGCGACATGGTGCTCGCCGAAGGCTCCAGGACCGCCGGGCCGGAGCCGCCCGCCGTGCCCCGCCGCTCCTCCCATCGCACCATAGAGTGCGGCGCGGCCGCCCAGAGCGCCCCGCCGCCCGCGCCGAACCATCGAGTTGAGCTCCGTCCCGCCTGGATATCCTGGAGAACATCCTGCTCCACCCGGCCGCTTCTCGGAGCTGTTTCATTGGCAGCGAGCATCCAGGAATCTCACACACGTATTTCTGATTGCCAGGCTCGTAGCCACCGACACGTTTCTGCCGCGACAAAACCGAGATGGAAATTACAATTGCGTTTCCCAGTATTTTACAGCACTGCAGTACCTTCTCCAGTGGAAAAGAATGAAGTGGGATAAAATGAAACTTCAGTCATCGGTTTGCTTTTAAATAAAATGTATTTCTGGATTCTTGAAATACCAGTTTGTTGGTAAGAACTGTAACATAAGATCCTCAAAGCAAATGATAATATAGAGAGATCACAGCAAGAGAAAGTGTTTCATAAAGAAGTGACAGGGTATTTTTCTCTGGAAAAAAAAAAAAGAAAAAGCTGCAGCTAGTGATTGCATTGATATTTTAATTAATAAATCTAATCATTGGTGCCTGCTCGTAATTTAAAAGCATGGAGGAGCAGCACATATAGCTGCTACTAAATAATTAGTTTATTATCCCAACAGAGAAAATCATTTAATCAAAAAACATTTAGCAAAGTTCTTTCTTAGTGCTCCCCTCACACTTTGTTTTTTTAAATAATGATCTGGGCATTTGTCAATGTTGTGTAACTTCTAAAAATTAACCCAAACATCTTGGAAAACAAAAAGAGAATGCTATCCTGCACAATGCCACAGAAAAAGTGCTTCATTGTCACAAGCTTGTCTTGCTACAAGCCAGGAAACCACACAGCATCACAATGCACACACACAAAAGAAAGAGATTTAGAAACCTTAGCGATCACCTGGACACTGTGAACATGCAGCTCGAGGAAGTCTATTGTCATGAAAAGGATCTCTATTTTAAAGTACCCCCTGTTTCCATTTGAGATGTTTTATCCTGAAGCTCAAATAACTTGGGTTTTCATAAACAGAAATACTGTCTGCAGTTACACTGATCAGACCTAGCACTTATTTCTTTGCCACAATGATATAAAGCTAAAAACTTTTTCTCTGTTATACTTCGGTGTTTCAAACATAAGCAAAACTGAGCTTTCAAAAATATCCCCTGAAGTCAAGTTCCTATGGTTTGCAGTGTGGTCACCCAGGTACACTGTTTAGACAAGAAATTGCTAGAGACATAAAAAGGTGCCAGAACCACCCAAGACTGATGCCCTCTTCTCAACCTCCCAGCCTTGATCTACACTCATTGGGTTGGGTTAACACCAGCACAAACAAACAGGGCCAAGTTGGTTTTGCCTTCTTGACAATTCTGCTCTAAGGCTAGAGTTGTAACATTTGAGTGACTCCTGGGGTTTTTCACTTAAAGACAGTATTTTAACAAGCAATTGTTGCATTAAAACTTCAGTAAAATCCCAGAATGCTACGCATTTAAATGTTAGAAGTGAAAGTCCTTGGGAACATCTTGTTTCTAAACTGCTATTTAAAATCTGTGCTTCAGGCTTATCATTTCTCTCACTTAATGCCAGTCAGCAGCCTCAACAGATAAGATAAATGGAACAGACCAACTGTTCCTGGAATCAACAGACACAGCAAAATCTTTAGTGTCTAAATTCAGATATATTCAGGGATTTTTATATACACATTCAAGATGTGTCTTCAGGTTTCTCATTTTCACTTAGGTTTCATCCAGTGGTCTTGTTAAGTCTACTGTGACCATATGAGTAGTGGGAGATGATCCTCCTCGGAGACCTTTCAAGAAAATCTGGGGTTTGGGTACATTGGTTGAGTTGTCACGCTTAGTCTGGGTGCCAACATCTTTTGGCAAGTACACTTGGGTGAAGTTCTCTCTTCTCATGTGGCTGAGATCAGTCTGCATGGCATGAGTTAACTTGCGGCGCAAGTTGGCCTAAAGACACAAAAAGAATCAGATTAAGCAAAACTTTGCACCAGTATATACTCAGGAGTGTTTGTCTGTTTTACATCTGTGGGCTTCATAAACCTGGAACATAGCCCACCTTACCTCTCTTGCCAATACATCGTTGTGACTGTGATTTGGGAAATCCTGAACTAACAGGATGTGTGAACAGCACTTTAGGTAGCCCACAGAATTTTAAATGAGTCTTATTAATTTCATACCATTGGTCACTGTCCTTCATATTTTGTTAAAAGTTTCACCTTTGTTTTGTTAGAATAAAATGTTTTCATGGCATTGGTTCTTCCAGTTCTTCCAGTCTTTGGTTTCTGCCAAATGTGATGAGGTTTAGGGGTTGGTGTCACAAAGTATCAGATAAAAGTGAAAAAACACCTTCTTACACTACCTTGCTCAGTAACCCCTTGACAAAGGGTAAAAGTTATGATTAAAGCTAGTTATTCACAGAAATTGCTGTAAATACAACAACAGCAATACCACTTTTCACAAAATGTTAGTATTCCAAAACCAGCACTTGAAACAAAAAAAAAGTTCCTTATTCCACTGGGCCTTCTATGTTAGCAACAATGTAAAACACTGTAAATTATGATATAATGTTCTCCTCAAAATACACAAAATACAGTCTCAGGTGCTGGAATTCAGACTTCCCCATGTAAGTGAGAAAGTCCCTGGAGTCCAGTCCAGTCAGTGAAGACTGGAGTCAGTAGGAAGCTGAAGAGTGATACAGCTGGCCAAATGTCCTAAATGTTGTATCAGGGCAAGTTAAAATATTCTCCAGACTCCACCACTGAGGTGTCCCTCTGCTGGAATGGAAGGTGACACACCCAAATGTAGGCACATTTTGGTACCTTAATCTACAACTGAATCTTATATGTGGATTCATCAAGCAGAATCCAGAAAGGAGCAATAAGGAACTTACAGAGCTGTAAGATGGTATGGGAAGAAAGACAATGTATTAAGTCCTTTTTTTTCTGAGAGTTTTAATGACTGAATGTATGCTATTACAAGGAACTGTGCTTGAACAGAGAAACAAATGTGAGCTAAAAATTTTACTTCTAACAGCATATAGGTTTTCTAACAAAGTAATAGCTTAATATTTCATACCACTACAAGTTTTTTGGCTACGTATGAACAACACAAAAAACCCCAAAGGCATGTGAGCTCATCCTTTAACAAAACCCACAAATATGTCTGATACTTCCTTGAAGTATCAAATTCATTGATGCACTGGTAAACTATTTCTGTTGTTTTATCACTTCGATATTAAATATTTTATCACCTCCACATTATAAATTAGCATTGTCAAAGCACTTTTGCATGCATTTGGGATTTTTTCTTTCAGCTCCGCATCACTAATCTCACATTTGGACAGCTGAGGCTAAAACACCATTAGTACTTTAAAGTACTTTCTCTAAATATTTCAAAAAAATGAGCTACAAATTTGTTTGTGAACGGTCTTCATGACCAGATATTGGAAAATACCCACTTTTGCTTATGCTGAAGAGCCACTAACCAAATCTTATGTTTATTTATGTACTTCTGTGCTTTATAAAAGTAAAAGAGGCTTTTAGCTAGGCTTCTTGTAAACCTGATTGGCTCCTTTATATACCTCAGTTACAACTATTTCTTAGAATTCTTCATGAGCTATCAACACTGGCAAGACTACTCAGTCCAAAATTTTGGTTTCCTTTTATAATTTTAGAGATTTCATGGCAAAAAGAAATTCAGAAAGAATTTCTGTGTCCAGCAGACCATAGGCCCCCACAGTGCATCTGCTCACGGAAGGAAAAAAAACCCCTTTAGTATTACATGTTCAGTTGATATTGTTAACTGTGATATTCCCTGTACTAACAAGTTGTTAATTTTGACTGAATTGTGAAAATCAGGTGCTATACCTTGACAACTATATGTGCTGGCAAACCCTAGAAAGAAGCTTCTGAAATATTTATTGTTAATTTAAAAGTTTTTATGTACATATGTGGTCATCTTTCTACAGACAGACTGTGATTCCCAATCCATCAGAAAATTCTGATAGTATGACAAACATTTGCTCTGGCTTTTTTACACAAAGAAATTATATAGAAGTATCTTCAACTCATTTAATTGATTTGAATGTAGAACAGCCCTAATATTCAAAGCAATTCAATTCAAAACAAAAAACTCTTATTACATAAAGAAGGCAAATGAAAAATTTGAAATTAATAAATATAAATATAATAAATCCATATTAAATATAAAAATATAAAAATAAAATAAATTATAAATATATTTTATAAAAATAAATATAATAAAATTAAAGTTAATAAATATTTAATAGATTATATTAATAAATTATAATTATAGATAATGAATATTATTCAAATATAAATAAATTATATATAAATAAATTTGAAATAATAAATATAATTAATAAATATAGCAGAGGGAGCACTGCTTAAAAAACGGGGAAAAATACAGAAGAAGTGAGAGAAGAAGTCTAGAAATAAGGAAAGAAAATATCTAGAAAAAAAATTGAACCAGTTTTAATGAAGTGTATGTCTTGGAATAAAAGGTTAGATTTATGTTTTAAGGAACAAAAGTTAAAAATAATTTACTCTTAAATTTGTTATCCAACAATGAAAATCTGGTAATAACAGTACAAACCAATTTTATAGCTTTTCTTCTCAGTTCCCATTCATTCCATTCATAGGATCTCACAATAGTTGGAGGCAAGATATGAGTATCAGTTTGAGTACCACTGTCACGTTTTGGGAGTCGTTCCATTGAACTTTTGCTTGCCTTTCTGGTCTGGATGAAAAGAAACAACCAAAGCCAAGCAATGCATTGAGAAGAATACAGAGAAATAGCATATAGGTATGCTACTTTTAAAAAGCAAATAGAGACCTGTAAACCACAATTGGATAATGATTTTTACATTCAACAATATTTTTGTTACCCATGCCCCCACCTAAAAAAGAAAACATTAAGGATCTAATGGATTCAATTTCTGACAGAAAACCCTTGAGGCAGAGGCCACAGGTGAGTTGCAGGCTCCTGCCTACCTAGTGAGTGCTTAATCACTAGATTTTGGAAAAAAAGGGTCCCACCACCACCAGTATTTTATGATGCAGGCAGCTCAGTTTGTCTTCATGAATGGAATCACAAATTATAACTGTGAGTAGTGCACATCTCTGCTACAACTGAGATATAAACTCTGTTTCAAACCAAGGGCCAGTTCAAGACTACATTCTTTCCTCTGCTAGGGATCTAAAATTCAAAAGTGGATCACAGAGAATGTTGTCTATAAATCTAAACCCAGTCTTTGAATTTCACATAGTAACACCATCACATTCATTATTGATGACTCTCCTTTTATTTTGTAATACATTCCATAACTCCTGTCCCCAGATACCACTACACCTTCATCCACCACACATGGATGGACTGCTAAGCTAAAGCTCCAGTTAACATGATATCTGTTACATCTGCTGTTGCATTTATTTACTGGTCCTTTAAGGTACTTTTGCAAAAATGAGGAAAAGAAACATCAGACACAAGACCTGCCTAGGCTGTGGACTAACAGCTTTTATCACTGCCAGAATGCTTTGGATCTACATATTTTCCTATGAATAGATAAGGTGAGAATGACATTAAGTAGAAATGATTCTTCAACACTGTGAAGACCTGGAAAAGATGGACCTTCAGACAGGCAGAGGATTTTACTTCTTTTCTAAAGACAGGTATCATCTGTTCTCTTTCAGAAAGGACAGACCAACCAGTGACCCAGCAGCTGTTCAGCAAGAGGCATGGGCAGTGTGTACCTGTGCATGTGGAACAAGGTATTCAAACTGATGACGGAGCTCAAGCAGTTGAATTAGCTCTGCATATTGTTTTGCTTTTTCTACATTCAATTGAATGAACTTATCTGGATCTTGAGCAAAGATGTATGCAGCTTCTTTTGAACTGAAAACATAATATTTCGCTTTGTGCTTCAAAATTCCAATAGCAGGATTTCCTAAAAATGAGAAGAAATTTCCTAAAAATGAGAAGAAAAGGCAACCCAAAATAAACTCCACAAATTAAAATTGTGAGCAGTATGATATCCAAAACAAAAGACATTTGTAATCAGGAGTCTGTGTTTCCCTCAAGTTAGTTTCACTTCCTTCTTTTTCTGAACTCAGTATAAACCCATTAAAAAAACCCCTTTTTTTAAATATAGTAAAGTCCATTTTGTTAGGTAAGTTAAACTGCTTTTGATCAGTTCACATCCAGCATGCCTTAGATGCAGGTCTCAGAAAAAGAACACATAAAACACATATAGCAAAGGCATAAGAAACCAGTCTCTACCCTCAAATATTTCCCCTAAAATCTCCACCAAATATCTGATTGCAGATCAGTGGTGCATTTTTACCAAAGGGCATAACACTGAGATTAACTGAAGAAACAGATAAAGCAGCTGGGAAGCCGAACAATAAATTAACAGAGAAAATGAAGTATCAATAAAGGCCAAATAACTTCTATAGGAAAACTGATTTCAAGGACAGTGGTAGGTTGTGCTTCAGATGTTATTGCCCAGGAAAGACCA